GTATCGGGGATTGATCTTGGGTCCTTGTGCTTGCGAGGCAGGCAGCGGAACCACTGAACTAAATCCCCAGCCCTTTTTTCTGATTTTTTTTGAGACAGGGTCTCACTCAGTAGTTCAGACTGGCCTTTTACTCACTATGTAGCCCAGATGGCCTTGAATTTACAAAAAAACCTCCTATCTCAGCCTCCTAAATTCTGGGATTAGAGGTGTGTAACACCATACCTGGCTTAGCAGTATTTTAAAAGACAGGATTTTTGGAGGCAGGGTGCAGCTCCAAGGTAGAGCACTTTCAAAATAAACAAAACAGGATTCTTATCCTGTTCTAAGTCACAGATCATTATGAAATTCTTAAGGAATGCTATAGACCTCGACCTTCTTTCTCCCTCAAAAACCTGTTCACACACACAGGTTTACCTATCAGAGGCTTCAGAAAGCCCACAGTCACTCCTTGTTGGGAGCAAAATAGAGCAAAACTGCCCAGCAGTGCCAGATCAGGTGTAATGAAGTTGGAGTTGGTGACCAAACCCAAATGCCTCATTGAACTCCCTACTACCCAATCCCCTTCCTGGCTTATGAGCTTCATTCCATGTGATTTAATTTTCAAGACCCTCCTTGTTATGTACTTAAAAAGAGTAACACTACATTTAACCAGAAATTCGAGACTCAGCAGAGGAATACATTTGACATACATATGCGTTTTTGTCTGATTCATTGATCCATTGATTGCAATACTGAGGATCGAACCTAGGGCCTTTGCACTGAACGACATCCTCAGCCCTTTTTGTTTTATATTTTGAGACAGTGTCTTACTCAGTTGCTAAATTGCCTAGGCCATCCTTGAACTTGTGATCGTCCTTCCGCAGAGTGCTAGAGTTACAGGTCTGTGCCTTTATCCATACATGGCTCCTAGCACACAGATTTTATGTAGCCATTTTTACATGTACATAGGAGCACCCAACAAGAAAGACGAAAACACAGAGAAGCAGTTAGGGCTGTAAGTTCATTGTATAATCATGCATCACTAAATAAGATGGAGATGCATTCTAAGAAATGTGTCACTAGGTGACTTTGCCATTGTGTGAACATCATGGGGTGTACTTAACACAAACTGACCCCTTTGGCATCAATAGGTGATAAGACATTTTAGCCCCAATATAATTTAATGAGACCACTGTCATATGTGTGGTACGTCATTGAGCAAAACTTCTTTGGATGGCATATGATCATACTAGACCGGACAAAGAATAGTAAATTGTGAAAACACAAGACAAAGGGACTGGGTTGGGGCAGTTAATGGTGGAGAAGTGACTACACAGATTAAGGTTAGTTTACAAGATTTACTTGCACAGATTTCCCTTGGCCTTGACTCCTCTGTCTGGTGATACAAAGGTCTTCCTTCTTTCTAGTGTAGGGATGGCACCTTTCCCTCGGGGGTTTCTCCTCAGGGAGAAGAGGGGAGATCAGAGCACCCTTTTTGTATCTGCTATTTGTCGAGCCCTTTTGACTCAAGACCAAAGCAGCAAATAACTTTTACAAGCTCACAGAGTAATGTATATCAGAGCTGAGACTTGAACTTGGTCGAGTCCAACCCTAGATTCCAAGTTTTTAATCCACAAAACTGAATGGTCACTTATAATTAACTAGTTACATTTAACTACTGATTCCTGAAGCACAGGCTTTCATTTCCAGAATCTAAGTGCCATTCGAGAAGAGCCCGAACTGCTCATCATTGAGAAAAAGATAGTAGAGTGCAGTGAGGACATCTCGGAGCTGTTCAACGTGCTCATGACACTGGAGATGCAGCTGGTAGAACAGCTAGAGGTGAGACCAGGCCTGAATGCAAACAAAAGAACCTGATGGTGCGGCTGCAGAACCACCCACATGGGTGCAATACCCCATGGGCACCCCTCTGTTGGAAACCTATAGGGCAATGTTAGTAAACCATTTAGAGACCCGTGCCCATACTGCAACCAAAGACTCACTTATTTATCACAGAGCACCAACACTGCCAGTATACCTGAATATCCAGTGATTGGCTGCTAGATAACTTGGCTCACGTGCCAACAGGGAGCGCTCTTCATGCCTGCTGCAGCATGCATGCCGTAGGTTCGACAGCACTGCAGTATTGCAGCCCAGCACATCACACTGAAGAATTCTTGCTCATCACTCCTGTGTTTGCTTTTAATACTTTTTATACATTTTTTTTGGCAGTGCTGGGAATAGAAGCCAGGGTTTTACCCATGCTAGGCAAGTGCTGTAATAATTTAAATGAAAAGTGATTCTTGTGGCGAAGGAGAAGTTGAGTTAATTCCTCTGGACTGTTCATCCCATCCTAGAAAAGCCCAGTGCCTCAGTGGGGAAGAGGCTCAAGGAGCCTTTTGATTAGACTCAAGGAGCAGTCTGAGTGCTCCCAAGACAAAGTGGACCCCAGTCAGGGACCAGACAAAGGCTCCTCTGGATCACAGCTGTAGTCACCATCTCCCAGGTGACACAAGGAGCCTGCAACTCAGCACCAGGGAGTGGAAATGAAAAGTGCTGCTGTCTCAAATTCATTAGCAGCCAGGGTGACTTGTGTGGCTGGGAATGGGAAGTGGTGTGATGAATTGAACCTCATCAGATGCCGCCGTGGCTAGGCCAAGAGATAGCACCTAATCAATTCCTCACACGTCAAGTGACACCTCAGACACAGGCTAGATTTCACCATCACATGCCATGCAGTCGCTCTCTCCCCACTAGGGAATGCTTGAGCCCGCCAGAAGCAGCACAGTGCTAGGGGAGGGCCTGTCAGCAGCTTCCTACCTTTTCAAGCAGGGAGATCGCTTTTTCATATTCATCACTTCCCAGAACTATGTATTGTCCTTGTATTACCAGAGGCCAGAAAGCTGGAAGGACAGCCAGGCTTTTCAATGACCTATTTTTATTTACTACAACACCCTTACACACATGTGAAAAAAATGTTTCATTTGCTCAGACCGCAGATGGTCTTTGGGCTCCTGTGAACACGCTGCACCCTGGCCCACCTCGCAGCCCCTGAGGTCTGTGGCAGGTTGGGGGAGGGGCTCCCAGAAGTGCAAACCTCACAAAGCGTTTCTGTCCTTCCTTTGTGGGCACCAAGTCCTTTTTAGGTCTAAGGTGCCTTGCTGAGCTGAGAAATAACAACAAATGGTGAGAGGTCTGGAATAATAGCCAAAACCTACTGAGGGTCTCCTTTTTGCCAGGTACCTTGCAAAGCATTTTGTGTGAAGTAGCTCATTGAAGCCCCCCTCCACACCCATGAGACAGGTATTATGTAAGAAACCCATTTCACAGACGAGGATCTAGAGGTTCAGAGAGGTTTAATGACTTTCGCAGAGTAACACAGTGATAAAGCTGGGACACTGACCCAGGCAAGCTGGCTCTTGCCAGCTCCCTCCACTGTTTCTCTCGAGGTGATGGACAGATGCCACTGAGAAGCTCACAAAGAAAGGAGTTAGTTCTGAGGAGTCAGGCGAAGTGAAGGGAGTAGGACCAGGACAGGTATTCCCAGCAAAGACCCACACAGAAAAGGCCAGAAAACAGCATCACACATTTGGGGTGAAGATTGAGTTGATACTAGAAAGCAAAAGAGCTCTGGAGACAGAAGAGGGAGTCAGTTCTCAGCCATCTTCCCAGGAAGGCCAAGGTGGATGGTCCTTACCTTCAAGGTAGAGAGTAAAGGTCTGTGATTCAAGGAGGCACCTGCTAAGTTCTAAATAGCACCTTTTCCTGTGGTGTGCGGTGTTTAAATAGGCTTGTTAACTGTGTTCTTTATCATTTCCAGGAGGCCATAAACATGTTTGAAAGGAACATCACTGACATGGTGGGAATGTTTATTGAAAACATCCAGAGCCTATATCCTTTCTGTGATGGCCCCCATAGGGAGGCTCTGCAGAACCCCTGGGATTGTCCTGGCATATAGGAGAGTTATGGAATAGATCTTTGCACTTTTAACAAAAGTCAGGAAAGAGCATACTTTCTCCAGAAACTGAGCAGGATATAAATAAATGGAGTCCCCTTCCAGTTGGCCACCTGCAAGGCCACCTCCTCCATCCCTCCTACTCTCACCAGAATCCTAAACATGTTGGCAGAGACAGGAAAAAGTCAGCACTCTACAACATACTTAACTTTTTATCAGAAATGCTGACTTCCCACTTGGCTTTCGGAAAGATCTATACCTCCACCAAAAGGATATTTCATTCACCCTAGGATCTTTTTAAATGAGATTCTCCACCTTTCAAATTAGAAGAATGGAAAACCTCCAATTTCTGCCAAGGAAAAAGCTCTCTTTCAAAAGACCTAGATTTGGTAACCACATAGAATGTTCCATGGGGTGCAAGGGGGTCCCCCAACTCTCAGAACAATGGTAGCCTTGTTAGAGTGACAGTTTGATGCCCAGAAATGACAGTAGAGTCCTGGCATGTTTGTTCTCAAGTGGGTGACTTCATGCGGCAATGGCACCCTGAAATCACTGCTTGCTTCTGTGTTACAAGCAAACATAGTCTTGGGGAGAGGCAATATCCACATTAAAGACAATGACGGAACCCATCCCTTTAAATGTTAAGGTTAGGAGCCAAAATCAAGAGCATGACCAAACCTTCTGCCACCTGATCTCAGGGCCCTGCCACATGAGGAGGCAAACTATTATGCACTACCCTGGAACAGTCCCTGGTCCTGTCCTCCTGGGGCTCAGTATCTAGCAGGCAGACAGACGTTATAAAGGTAACAAGTAGTATTGAAGGTATGAGGTAAATAGCAGCCAACCCAGAGGCCAGGGCCAGGAGTCTCCCTGTGCACGGGTAAACCAGGTAAGGGCCTGCAGTTGGCCAGAGGGACCAAGTGAAAGGGTAATGAGATATTCCAGGAAGAGGAGGCAGCCTATGCAATGCTCTTAAGGGTGAGCCAGAAGATCCTGGTTCCCAGAGGAAGACTTCAGGCCATGTCAGAGAGCCAGGATCTCCTGAGAGTTTTAAACAGGGGACAGATAAGTCCCAGGTACCTACATCCTTAAGCTCAATCCAGTTGCTTTGGGGTGGAGCAAGAGTGTGGAAAAGCCACCCTGTCCAGCAGGCAGTGTCCAGCTGGTAAGTTGTGAGGTTGAAGTGGATGATAGAGGGACAGTGAGAGGAACTGGTGCTGAGCATCAGTAGTGACCAGGTGCAGGTCAGGTGCAAAGGAGGAACAGCTGGAGATGGCCTTGGGGCTTGGTGCCTGGAGGTGACACTTGTGAAGGTAATGACTCCTGGCATCGCAAAAAGTTCCCTCCTATCATCTGTTCTTGTCCAGCTGAGATGTGATGGACCTCTACCCGTCAGAGGCCCAGCCATAGGTCAGGAGGTGTCGGCCTGCACTGTCCTGGCTTTGCTTAACTCTTGACTGCACCATGGCTCAGTGTCGAGACCTGGAGAACCACCACCATGAGAAACTCTTAGAGATCTCGATCAGCACCCTTGAGAAGATCCTCAAAGGCGAGCCGGACGAGGAGCTGCCTGACGACGTGCGAGCAGTGAGCACAGAGGGCAGGGCAGAACACAGTGGGCCATATGTGGGAGCCGGACAAACTGGATCCAGCCCAGTTCTGTGGCTCACTTCAGTGTGACAACTTCCCCGAGCCTCAGTTTCCCCATCTACAATAGGAGACAGTAAAGTGTTTTTATAGAGTTGGTGGATGAAATAAGGTAGCAAATAAGTTATCTGGGCGGGACATTCAGTGGACTCAGTAAAAGAAGAACTCACAATGGTTGCATAGTTTAAACTTTCCAACAGGTTGGCTTCCACGCCGGCATGGTGGCATGTGTCTATAATTCCAGCACTTGGGAAACTGAGGCAGGAAGATTGCCGTGAGTTTTGAGGCCAGTTTAGGCTTCATAGTAAGACCCTGTCTCACACAAAGAAAAAAAAAAAAAGTTCAATTTTGTGAGGACTTCTGGCATTTTCTAGGGGAGGCAATTACAAATAGAACTTAAGGCCTAAGATTCCCCCCGAAGTCTTAATCTTAGAGTGTCTACAATGAGAAGTAGTACTGGTGTGTTGGATCCACTCCAGGCACCATTGCTGAGACAGCATGTTGCTGGCCCATACACTCAGTAATGATAGTAGGGAATTAGTTGGGTCATTTGGAGCATGTGCTCCATCCTTGGCTCTGCACACTGAGGAGGCTCTCCAAGTCTGTGCTAGAGACCAGCAGCAGCAGCAGTGGATTTGGCCCTGGGAAGGAATACAGGCATGGATAGAGAGGCCCAGGCTCAACTGTTCCTTATCAGGGGCCTGCTTTCACTCCTGCATCAATCATTCCAGCTCAATCATTCCACTGCCATGTTGACACCAAGCCACACGCTCCCCTTTCCTTACACGCGAGCCTCCCTGCTGTCCTCTTACTAGGCTGTTCTTCATGTATAGAGAGAGCCTTTGAAAATCCAAACCGCACCCTTGCATACTTCTGCACAGTCTCTGCCTGTGGCTTGCCGTGACTTTAGAGTAAGTCCTTCCCCACGGTCACCAGAGCCTTGGATTTGGGCCTGGCTAAGTTGGCAGTCTCCCTCCTCCATGTACTCACTCAGCACCTTGCTCTTTTCAGACTGTCTGGCAAATATGCTCTTTTCTCAGGTCTCCGTGTATCTGGCTTCATCCTTGCCATTCAGATCCCAGCTCAAGTGTCACCTTTTCAGAGAGGTGCTCCCTTATCATCCTTCTGAAAACAATTGTCTGTGAGCACCCCCTTTATCAAGTCAAAGTCTTATCATAGTACCAAACTCTGTTTTGTGTTGATTTGCTTATGTAACTGTTGACACTGTATATAAAAGCTCGAGAGGGAGGGTTGCCTTTTTTACCACCATGTACCTCCCAGTGCCAGCAGCAGTGTCCAGTGTCCAGCACAGATGCCAGGAGTCATCTGTGAGATGAGTGGGTAAGAGCAAGAGTTCCCTGAGCCTGTGCCCTGTCAGGTGCTGGGCTTAGTCCTACAGGTGGAAGACTAGCAGTTCCTGACTCTGTCCTGAGGCTAAGGTAGACACCCAACCCAGCAGCACGGTGGCAGAGCCACTATGACTCCAGCCTTCTTTCCCTAAGAAACTAAGTGCAGCTAACTTTTGACCACACTTCCCTGAGCCAAGAAGTCCGCCTCCCCTGATAGCCCTATCTGGAAGTCCATTGTGGGCCGGCAGGGAGATCTCAGTTTTGTGACACACAGTGGCCACAGAACTGCAACATGCTCACTTCCTATTGACTGGGACACACAGCAAAAGATGGGCCCCAGAGCCAGCAACAGAGAAGCAGGCTAGGCTGTGCTGTCAGTAGCCAGCTTCCCTTTTGCCCAGTGGGCCCTACCTAGTGCCACCTGACACCTGCCTGTTCTGTAGCTGCTGAAACATTCAGGACCTGCCGACTGCAGTGGCTGGCAGCACACTGGGTTCCCTTATTGGGGCATTGACTGTCCAGGCCTGAAGATCACACATGATTTCATTTACTTCACCAAAGGAAGTACTACTATCACTCCAGGTAACAGATGAGAAAGCTGGTGCTCAAGAGAAGGTTGGTAAAATGCCCAAGATGGCACAGCTTGTGTTGACTGGAGTCTGGACTGAAACTGCAGTATGACACATGCAGAGCCTGGTTTGCTGTAGAGCCCATGCTGTGCCCTTAATGGTGGACTGCAAGCTGGCAGGCATTCTTGGGGTACTCATGATGCTGGGCTCTTCCTCTCAGCTAAGGCTCTGCTTGGGCTTGTTGGCAGGACTGTTATAAAGTACAGTCCTCAATACCTTATGGGGGCAGCCAGTAAAAACCTCTATCCTCTTAGGAATGTGTGAAGTTGCAGCAAGAGATATCACCAAGATCTCACACTGTTGCTTTGGTCTTATGTGCGAGCATAGGGCCAAAATATGGCCCTGTTATTCTTGGGGACAAAAGGCATGGGCTGACTATAAGGAGTGATAACCACAACCAAGGGTTGGCATTTACTGTGGGCTGTGAGGGCCAGCCCTCTGGACATGGAATTGCTCATTCATTTGTTCATTTGTTGATTTTGATTTTGATTTTTTTTTTTTTGAGACAGGGTCTCACTATGTAGTTGAGACTGCTCTGGAACTCACTATGTAGCCCAGGCTGGTCTCAATCTCACAGTGATCCTCCTGCCTCAGCCTCCCAAGTGCTGGGATTATAGGCGTGTTCCATCATACCTGGCTATTTTGATTTTTTGAGACAAGGTCACACTGTGTAGCTCAGGCTGGCCTCAAACTTGTGACAATCATCCTGGCTCAACTTCCCGAATGCTGGAATTACAGGTGTACACAACCATGCCCAGTGAAATTGCTCTTTTAATCTTCACATTAACACCATAAAATAGGTGCCACTGTGTGTATCTTACAGATACGGAAACTGAGGTACAAAGATTAAACTGCCCAAGTAGTAGAACTGTGATCTGAACCCTGACAGTTTGACTCAAAGCCTTTAACAAAATGTGTACTGAGCTGATAGCAGGTGTGGTTGTTCCAGGGAGGAAAGAGGGCCTCCAGTGGAAGAAATCTGCCTTTTGTTACATAGCGATCAATGAGCAGATTGTGACGAAAAGTCACACTGATGAGGTTATCTCTAAAACTCCTCTCATTCAGTGGAGTGATTGTTATCCGTTCAGGCCATACTTGGGGCCCAGATTGTCTCATGTCTATGTCAAGTCCTTCCCAGCTTGGAGAGGAAAGGTGAAATTTCATGCTGGGGCCAGCAGTGAGGGAGAGCCTTTGCTTGGTACCAGCAGTCACAGCTGCCCGTTTGGGAGGCAGCAGGGATGTCAGATGTGCAGCCTGGGCAACCTGAACATGTATGCAGTGTCCAGCTGCAAGGGCAGGGCCGGTGCTTGGGCTTAGGCTATGGGGAAGACTTGTGAGTCCATTGAACCTACTAGAACAACTGTGTCTGACCCAGGTCAGCAGTAGGTAGGGAGGGTGGTTACCATGAAGCTCTGGTCAGGACCAGAAGAGTACAGCTCAGTACAAGTCCCTGACCCATTAGGCTGAGCTACTCCTTGTCTCTCGTGGAGAGGGCTGCAAGTCAGTGGGTCTGACAAGATGACCTGACCCCACACGTCACGGGGCAGCAAAGGTGGTCACTAGCGTCATGGTGGACGCAAAGAGGGGTACCAGTTATGCCCTTCTCAGAAGTTCCCCTCAAGAAGTCACTCTGAAGGAAATAATGTCTTTGTGGCACAAGAGTTACCTCTGTGAAGTCCAGCAAGGCCCATGGAACAGGGAACACAGCCCAGGAGCCAAAAGCAGCCTGTGCTTCTCACAGGCTCTGCATAGCTTCTGCCTCTACCCTAGTGCTTTCAACCCACAAAAACTGGAGGTGAATCCAGAATATTCTCCCCATACGGACTATTCCAAGAAGAAAACTGGAGTGGTCACCACTCTAGGCCACTTCAAGTCCAGAAACAACTCACAACTTGCATGTTTAAAGAGTTTCTTTGGCCTGTTACTGAGGAGACTGAGCTAGAAGGATCATTTGAGCCCAGGAGATCAAGACCAGCCTGGGCAACATATTGAGAAATTGCCTTAAAGCAACAAAACTCTAAGAATTTCTTTAAACCAGATTCCTTTTGTTTATATTTTACAAATGTCACATCATTTTTCTTAACTAATTCTACCTCATGTGTTTCTAAACTGACCTCAGTTTTTGTTGTCAACCCTTTGAAGCCATTTTCTATATATTCAAACTCTGAGGAGGAAGATATTTTCATCTGGTTTAAGATCAGCTACAACTCACTTTCTAGAGTGAACTGAAAACATATAATTGGTGATTGTGGCTATTTTTAAAATACCTAGGTAAGGGCTGGGGATTTAGCTCAGTAGTTCTGTAGCCTGCATCGCAAGCACAAAATCCCAAGTTCGATCCCCAGTACCAAAACAAAAAAAACCTAGGTGCCCACTCACCTGAGAGGCTGCTTGAGGCTCAAGGAAGCAGCCCCCCCACTTTTCAGGCTGGCCTTGAACACACTGTATAGCCCAGGCTGGCCTCAAACTTGTAGTGATCCTCCTGCCTCAGCCTTCCAAGTTCTGGGATTACAGTCATGCACCACCACGCTGGGCCAGATTTCCAGTTTTCATCCTTTCTCAGAGCCTTGGCTGGAGCTGTGTGCCTACAGAGAAAGAACATAATAATCATCATTTCTTACATGTGACTGTGCTAACTGGTCTCCCAGCCATCCCACTCCCCACATCATTTAACCTGGCTTTGCCCATATGGGATTCTGTGAAAATTCAGCAGCCAGAAGACATTACTCTGAAACAGAAAGACCAAGGTTTGTTTTCCATAGGACTTTGGTGAGCCTTTAGGATACTTTGTACCCTACAAATCTTTAGCTGTGGCCTGAGCGTGCTGGCTTTCCCAGCTGTGTTTGACTAGAGAATACCTTTTTTTCAAAAAAATACAAACATCTCAAGGCTCCATAGAACATGCTGTTTTGGGGACCATTAAGTTAACTGCTACTATAGTAAAGAAACAAACAAAAAATCAGGTATAGGTTGAGCATCTTTGATCCAAAAACCTGAAATGGGTTTTGAGTATTTCAGATTTGAGAGTTTCCAATTAGGAATGCTCAAAAAATCTATGCAGGGCCAGGGATTTGGCTCAGTGGTTCCACTGCCTGCCTCACAAGCACAAAGGCCTGAGTTTGATCCCTTGTACAAAAAAAAAAAAAAAAAAACAAACCTACGAAAATCTTCCAAAAATCCCAAAAATGGTGAAATCAGAAATGCTTCTGGTCCCAAGCATTTCAGATGAGATGCTGCACATATATGCAGCCCACGTGCTGTCCTCTCTACCATTACCAAATACCCCAATTCACTGTGGAAGCACCTGGTTCCTGAATGCTTCATCAGCTTTCCCCCACTCTGGGAAATGAAAAATTTCAGGCACAGACAGCCACAGCGTCAACACTTAGAACTAGCCAGGCCTACTAGAGGGTGGTTGTTTTGAACAGCTTTTTTACAAGGCAGCAATCAAGGTCAGGAGCAAGGGAAGGTAGAAGGAGACCCCAAGTGGACCCTAAGGTTTGATTTTGTTGCCATGTGGGGCAGTAAAGAGAGAAACATGAGGTGAGCACCCATCAGTCTGCAGGACCTGTGGTCCTCAGAATGGCTGTGAGACCCTGGGAAATGCCTTGCATTTCCCACCTGGCCAGCAGACTTAAGAGAGAGAGAGAGAGAGAGAGAGAAGCTTTATGAGAACAGATGTCCTGAGTGAGATCACCCTGGGCAGCCATCTGCTTTCTCCCTGGAGAAAACATGCTCCCAATGAAGACTGCAGAGTAACACCTGCCACTGCTTGGGTTAGAGAGGCGGCTGTCACCTGAAATGAGCTGGCACAAATTGTACCAGTACAAAGATGGGTTCTCCACCTGGCACAGCCTGCCCCGCCAGGGGATTCCCAGGAGTCCTTTCTCTATTCTGCTTCCTGACTCTGTGTTTAGGGTGTAATGACATACATGATCTCATTTGGGCCTTCTCCCTTACCAGCTTTTTGTTGACAAAGACACGATTGTAAATGCTGTTGGAGCATCACATGACATCCACCTCCTGAAGATTGACAATAGGGAAGATGAGCTGGTGACAAGGATCAATTCTTGGTGCACACATTTAGTAGACAAGGTGAGTATGTCCCAACCCATCCTGGCTGGCCAGGCTCATTTTTCTAGCCAGAAAGAATGGGAAAAATTTCCCTAGGTAGTGCATACTGTTTTCAATAAGGAGAGAAATGGAAAATGAAATAAAGTTCAGATTTGTAAAATTCCACAATGACTCAGTGTTGCTGGTCAGAAACTTTCACACCGGCGTGCTTCATCACTGGGTTATGAAATAGATCTGTAGAATCTCAAATAGCTCCATAGACTGAGTAGGCTCTGGAGTAAATGAGGCACAGAAACTCTGGAGATTTCAAAGAACAATCTCTTTTTTTCTCTCAAACTGCCTCAGTAAAAGATATCAACGCAAAAAGATAGTAATCTGATTGAAGGCCTTGGGCTTTGGTTTCACTCCCCAGATTCACAAGGATGAGGTCATGAGGAATCGCAAGCGAGTGAAGGAGATCAATCAATACATCGACCACATGCAGAGCGAGCTGGACAACCTGGAATGCGGTGATGTGGATTAGGTGCATGTCAGCCAGAGGGTCCCTTTTCAAATGCAGCATGAGCCCCTACCACAGTGAGGAGGTGGGCACATACACTGGCTGCCTAAGGAGAGAGTTACTGGCAGTTCTTCAATCCATGTTCCCCCAAATACCTTTTTTCCCAGACCCACCCTGGAGAAAGTTCCAAATGAGTAAAAAATAAGAGAAAAAAATGAGAATGTACATTCATGTATGAACAGGAGAAAAAGTGAAGAGAAACAGCAGGTCCCTGGCCAGTCTACAAGAGTGGCTCGCTAGGAGCTAGAGGTATCTGTGGCCAAATACCAGATATGGGCAGGGCTGTTCCCTTAGCCATGCTAAGGGCAGGCTGCAGACATGAGCCCAGTCCTTCCCTCCTCTGAGTGCGGAGGACCTGGAAGCAGATGAGGTTGTAGCTGCCACCAGCACACTGGAGCCTGGGCCAGCCATCCAAGGCAAAGACTGTGGCCCCTTTTGGCTGCAGGGTCTTGAGGGCTCTCCAGAATTTACGGGTACAGAGTGGGCATCCCAACTGTGACAGTAATTCCTCAGAGTACCATTGAGGGGTTCAGGAAGAAAGGGCATGGGAAGTGTGGAAAAGATCACTGGTATGGGGTCAGGGCCTCTTGAGTGGGGTGATGCCAATTTGTTTGGGAGGGCATGGGTCAGAAAGCCTTTGCTTGCTGGGTGTTTTGGCACACCCCTGTAATCCCAGAACTCTGGGAAGCTGAGACAGGAGGACCTTAAGCTTGAGCCCAACCGGGGCTACTTAGTGAGAGTCTGTCTCAAACAAATTTAAAAAGGGATGCAGATAGAGCTCAGTGTGAAGGCCCTGGGTTCAATCCCTAGTATGACCAAAGAATCACTCTCCTTACTTCCCTTCCACTGAGCCTGGCACCGGGAAGCAGCACCTAACTGCCGGGATGGTACCGGTGGCCATGTTAGAAGGAGTCTCAGGATTCCCATGTAGAAGATGAGTAGAAATGTGCATGTATTAACTTCCCATTACTCTAACAAACATTTGACATGTCAACTTAGAGAGAAAATTTATTTTGACTCATAGTTTCAAGGGGTTCAGCCTGTGAGCAGGTGTGGCCCTGTTGATGTGGGGACTGTGGTGAGGTACACATCATGATAATATATGGTGAAGCAAAACAGCTCACCTCAGGGCCAGAAATCAAAAGAGAGAAAGAAGGGGCTACAGTCCCATAATGCCCTTGGAGGTTACATGCTCCATCACCTAAAAGCCTCCCACATGGCCCCACTTCTTAAAGGTTCCACCACCTCCCAACAGCACCATTCTGGGGAACAAACATTTGGATTTCAGATCCAAATTATAGCAATGTATTTTACGTGACCTTGGCAGGCCTGCAAGGCTTTTAAGCCAGAAACAACTTGTATTTTATATTTTCAAGAGTAATTCATTTTTTTTTCTAGAACAGTAGGAACAAACAGAAACAACCAGCTTAGACCAAGAAGGACTTACTTTCAAAGGTTCGTTTGATGGAAAACCAGGGAAAAAAGCCCTTCAGGCAGAGGCTGAAGACACAAATAGAATTGTCTATTGGTGACATGCTTGTTTCCCCAGCATGAGGTTCCTTACCATGGGTAGCAGCTGTAAAAATGTGCCTGGAAGATAAGCCATTCAACCTTGATGACAAAACCCAGCCAAAACAAGAATAGGGAAATATAGAGGCACAGATGAAAAAGAAACTTGACACATTTCCAAGGTGAATGAATATTTAATAAAATCAAGGTCAAGAGAAAGTCATTTGTACAACTCATCCCCTTCATTGGATGATGGCCATGCCGGGGGCACCTGGGTTGGAATCAAACTGACCTCCAGACAGCCAACTGTATATCAGGGGCACCTTAGGGAAATGCTATACAAGGCCAAGCCCTGCAGGTCAGAGGAGGTCCACAGTCACAGGCTGGGGCAGCTCTGCACGCAGATAAGCCCCACAGACCAGGAAAGCCCTAGGGCAAGGTAGCTGTGGCTGTACAAGATCCATCCAGCTGGCATGTGCAGCCCAGGCTTCATTCCTGCAGGAGCTTGTGCTTGACTGAGGTATTCTCTGAGCAGAGGTGGACAAAGAGGGTGCCAGCAGCGGTGCGGGCCCGCAGCTCCTGTAGCTCATAGTCATGGGCCCATTCGATGTTGCCCCACTTCTGGATCTGAGGAGGGGACGAAACAAGTTAGCTGCAGGGAGGGCCAGGGATGTAGTTCAGTGGCACTACACCTGCCTCACAAGTGCAAGGTCCTGAGTTCGATCTCTGGTACAGAAGGGAGAAAAAAAAAAAATACTGCTTGGAAAGTGCTGGGCTAGTTGTTGACTAGAGCCACACTCCACTCCCAGTGCTAGACTAAAAGAACTAAGCTTGAATCTTGCCAACACCGGTGAGATACACAGGTGTTGGGTGTGGGGCCCAGGTGGCTAGAACAGGCACCTGTGCTCTGAAGGTTGGCTGGTCTGTGAGGAGTGTGTCCGGGCCCTACTACTATGTACACTGGGGACCAAAACTACTCATGTGTTCAGTGAGTATCATGTGAACAATGAGTATCATGAGACTCATGTGGCTTCCCTCATCTCATATTTTGAACAAAGTATCTAGCATGGAGTGGCTTGTAAACTGCCATCCTCTGAGCTGTATCTGCAGGTGGGCTGCAAGTGCTCTCCCCATATGAGTAAAATAAATAAGCAGGGGCACATATGACTTCTAACGCCTGGGGGAAGAGCAGTAGTACAGAGGCCTCTGCTTTGCATGCTGGGGCAGGCTGCAGTCTCTCTCCAGGACTCTGAAAAGAAGGAGGAACCCTCTAGCCACACTGTGGCTATTGGGACATCAGTGCAACTCCAACCTGACCCTGCTGGCTCCTCCCCAGCGGGGGCCCAGAGGCTCGGCCTGGCTGCCCCTGCACACCCAGGAACTCAGAATTTACCATGCTACACAGCTATCTGCATTTGTTACAGCTCAGTGTCAGTATGCACAACTATAATATGTCAGCTGGAGGATGTTTTCACCTTCAGTTCATACCATCACATCCATAATCCAGGATCCTTACTTTGGGCAGGATCAAAGCCAGAGTGCAGAGGATGACAGCTTGGCTTGAGTCCCACAGTTAAAAGCAGAGTCCAGACCAAAAGCCAGATTTCCTGGCTTCCTACCAGGTCTGACACTCCCATGAGTTATCCCCTTCCCACGAAATTGGTTCTGACATCTAGAGACTGACCAGCCTCCTCTGCTATACAGAAATAAGTTTTCTTTTCCCCTGGCATTTTTCTGAATAGAAGACTAAACGTTCTAAAAAGCCCCCCCCCCACTAGGAATCAAATAATAATAGCAGCAATTAACCTTCTGGGTTTAGAGGAATAACATCAACAACAAAAAAGACTGTAAGCACTGCCATCATTTTCGGAGTTAAAAAATGCAAACAACAGTTTTTTAATTCTGAGCCCTCCAAATCAAAACGTGTACAAACAGCAGCTACTCCCATGCTCTGCCAGCCAGATGAAATGTCAGGATTTGAGTGTGCGGCTGACTTAAGAGAAGAAGCAGGTCTTCTGTCATTTCAGCAGGGCCTGTTCTGCAACTTATCAGGACCAAATGCTCTTTATCTGCTCACAAACCTTCAAGTGCAGAGTGGGGACTGACGGCCTTAGACCTAGACTCCCCAGACCTGGCTTCAAACTCCACCTGGAATATCTGCCAGAGGTATTACCTAGTGCCCTAGTTTCCCCCTATGTAAAATGAGGATGAACCCAGCCCCTACCTAATCAGGTTGTAGAGGTAAGGGGTTGAGGGGAGCAGTGCTAAGTACCTTTCTTAACTTTATTTTTTTTAATTGGTGCTGGGGATAGAACTAGGGCCTCATGCATATAAGGCAAGTGCTCTATCCCTAACTACATTCCTACCCACAATTTAACTTTAAAAAAAATTTATGGCATTGCTGAGGATGGAACCCCAGCACGGTAAACAAGTAGTGTACCCCTTACCTACATCCTCAGCCCTGAAACTTCTACTGATCTTTAATTTTGTAACTTTTTTTTTTTTTTCTTTTTTGGTACCAGGGATCGAACTAAGAACCTTGCGCTTGCAAGGCATGCAGCAGAACCACTGAGCTAAATCCCTGGCCCAATTTTCGTTTCTGCATTTGTATATAAACATAATAAAGACCAAATTTACATAAACAGATTTCAGATAGGTTGGCTGCACCCCACCTCACCTGGTACTCCTCCTCCAAGCGTGATAGCAGCACAGCCTGCTCCACTGTTAGGCGCAGGTCAATTAGCCCTAAAGTCAGCACCATGGATTTGAGCTGGGCCACCACAAACTCGATCCCTGTGGAGACACAAACCAAGTCAGGATCTGAGTCAGGAGCTGCTACAACCTCATAGAAGAGTGAGGGGGCAAAGACCCCAGGATAGGGAGATAGTCCCAGGGGCCACCTGGAATTTGATCTTACTCTTTTGCAAGAGCACTCTGGCTTTCCTTGGGGATGAGCTGCCTCTGCCTTTTCCTGTGTAGGCACATGACCTGAACCTGGTCAATCACAGCATCCCCTCAAACCTCTGCCCACTGATTGGTTCACAGATGTACTGGGCCAGGTCAGTGAGATAAGTGTGATCTTGAGACTTGTGCTGAAGAGGACAAATACAACTTTCTGCTGGAAGGGTGTGAGCCTACAGTGCTGACTGTAAGGGTTGGCATCAAAGCCAGCCAGTTTTCATGCTCACAGCCCCCCAGGCCCAATGTGTACCTTGTAGAGCCCACATATTGTAAGATGCCAGGTGGCTGACAAGCACCTCCTGAGTCTTGGCGGGGATGCTGGGTCCCATTATGCTGGTGGAGGAGCCGATCTCCACACCATATCTGAAAGGAAGAGGCTTGTACATGTCCAAAGAACACTCATTTTTGAGCATGAGTGTGCCCTTCAGGGCATGTGCCAAAGGGGCTAGTCTTGGGGACTCTGGAAGCAAATACCATTCAGGTCAGTGGTCTCTTGATCTAATTTTCTAGCCTCCAAAAACATATCCAGAGGAGCAAGAAACTGTCCTCAATGAGTTTCTAAAGGAGCTCCATTGTATGTAACTGCTTGAAATGCTGTCACTTCCTTGCAACCTCTATCAAAAGCATGGAAAACCTGCCTTTTAAATCTTTTAAGAGTTTTTCCCATATGAGTCCATAAAATATTTATTCTAAATATTATTTTCTTTAGAAAGTTTATATGTTCCCTATGCCACTCAATCACTTTTTTCAAATATATAAAGCATTGGTTTTTGGTCTTTGGTCTCTGGGATATGAGCTGGCTTTGAGAAAAGATACATGTTAAAAAATAAGCATAACTAGGGGTTTTGGGTGTGGCTTAATGATATACTCTATCATTGGCTAGCATGGTCAAGGTTCCCTCCTTAGCACTGTAATAACTATATAAAACACATACATCACGAGGCAAAAATAATTGTTGTAGTTTTTTTACTCAAAATATGGCTAGCTAAGGGCTGTAAGTGTCCAATGTGACCCCTTGGCCCTAGGACACTGCTCAATACCAGCCCCACCCAATGTTTTCTTGCAGGACTGTATATCTTACCTCTTCTCGGCCCATTCTATGATTGGGTCCCACTCATTCTTTTGAAGTTCCACTAATGTCTCTGGTTCTTCTACCCTGTAGCTAATTCATGGTAAAAAATCACATTTATTAATAAAATAGTACAATTCTTTGATTCGGTGATAGAAAAGGAAAAACACAATGGGCAACGGCAAAAACTTTCTCACCACCCCCAGTCTTGTCCCCTGGTTCTCAAAGTACGGTTCTGAGGCGAGTGGCACGGGTCTCACCTGGAAACTTAACCAAGGCACATTCTCAGACCACATTCCACACCTACAGGAATCAGATCCTCTGGGGGCGGGGCCTGGCCATCTGAGTTTTAACAAACCTTAAGAAGTGACTAATAGCGTGACCTTTCAAACCACTGTCCTGCAGGGCATAGCAGCTACACCTATAACCCCAGCACTTGGGAGGAGAATTGCTGTAAATTAAGGCAGGAAGATTACTACAAATTTAAGGCCAGCCTGGATTACACAGTGAGACCAGAGCCAGCCTGAACTACATAACAACGTCCGGTCTCAAAAAAACAAAAAACAAACAACAACAAAAAACAACTCCCCCCAAAACTAACCACTGTCCTAAATGCCCCCAAACATTTGACAGGTCAAAATTTATAGCATTAGCTGGGCGTGGTGGCGCATGCCTGTAATCCCAGCACTCGGGAGGCTGAGGCAGGAAGATCGCTGTGAGTTCGAGACCAGCCTGGGCTACATAGTTCCAGGTCAGTCTCAACTACATAGTGAGACCCTGTCTCAAAAAAAAAAAACAAAAAAACAAAAAAACAAAATTTATAGCATTATGTTAGTGCCATTCAAAAGTAGATGGAATGTAATAACCACATCCTGGAATCCACACCCATTGGATGTGAATGCTGGGCCAGAAACTCAATAATGGCTTCTCTGCCCTCATCCGTTCCAAAACATGTTCTTGGCTACAGAGCCTCTTTACCCTGAAGGAGCCTACCTACCTCTTGACTCAGATGTCTGACTTGAGGGGGCCAATCTAGAGGCCAGGATATGCTATTTTATTCCTTCTACATGATCCAAAACCCAGGGAGAAGAGGAGGGAGGAGCTCTGGCATCCTGATCTTCCAGCTTTTTTCCCTGGTGGTCTGATTTCCATCATTTCCTGTCAAGATCCTTGCATCGTTTTCAAGAAGCCCTTTTGTACCTGAACTAGATTGAATGGGTTTCTGTTCCCTGCAAGTAAGTTATCCCTAGCATAAATGGAGTAGGCTTTCTGACAGGAGGCTCAAAATCAGCACCATGGGTGATTCCTTTCCAGAGCACCTATGCCAGTTTCTTGTGTCATCTTATCCCTGAGATTAGGGTCAGAAGGTACAGGGCTGCCTAACCACTGCAGTTGCTTCTTCAATGTTCCTTCAATATCACTAATCAATTAGCCAAAGGTCACAGACCCAAGGGGAGAATTCAGAGTAGAAAGAAGCCAGCCCCTAACTACCACCATCTGTAACTGAGAACATGCCAGAAGTCAGGGTCAGAGGCCCTTCTGGGGGTTGGCTGGTCCTGTAGTCCAGGTGTCTCAAAAAGCTATATACATCTCCACCCAAGCCTGCCCCAGCCCGCCCCCACCTACAGAGTACAATGTGCTTTGGGAGCCTGAGAAGGCCTCCTCCCAGGGACTGGAACATCAAGGTGCCAATATCAAGGAGGCTGCCTTCCCTACCTTCTGAGGTCACAGGAGTAGGCCTGCCTCTCCTCCCACTAAGCACTCTCTGGGTGAGTGAGGCCAAATACCCCAAGGGACACACTCTGTCCAAGGGGACTACTTATCTAAATGTCAATTACCAGATGGTGTCAGTGTCCAGAAACTTCACAGCTGCCCGGATCAGCTGATCCTTGCTGCGCTGAGTTGGGTTGTCCAAGGATGTGTTACACAATGTGGTCTGAATCAAAGGCAGAAAGCACTTTGTCACTACCTGCTGGGCTCAGCCAAAAGCCCTCCTTTCTTTGAGGGTACTGCATCTGCATACAGTTACAGGCCAGGAACCAGACAGCACACAGAAGCCTGGATCCACAGCCTGGCTCTGAAAATGCCATGGCTGAGCATTTGTGAATGCCCCTGGGACTCAGGGTACTCTCTCAGTATCCTGGGTGAGTGAATGTCCCCAAAGTCTCATGCTTTTTATACCAAGCTCTGCTGTGTCTCAGTTAATCCTCACAACACCACTCTGGAGCAGGCACCATTATTCCTGTTTTCAGAGATGTGGAAACTGAGGTCCCAGAGAGGTCAAAAATATCCACTAACACAGTTAAGATAAGCAGCACTCGTGGAACTCAAACCTGACTGCAGTTTTACCATTGGCTCCCTTAACAGTTTAGAAAGCAAGAAAACAAGTCATCCCAACTGGGATCAAGATTATGTTTCTTGATTTGCCTTGTCAATAATAGGCTTCTTTGGTTACTCTATTAGTTTCTAGCCCTCATCATTCTAATTTTATCAGATAGTTCAGGAGTATGCAGGAGTAGGCAGTGCCTCAGCAGGCTGTGAAATTGTGGGAAGCTGCTTGGGTCTATGGGTCAAGGGTGAGCACAGCAATGACCATGATGAGAGCAACTAGTTCCTACGTTGACTGAGAACTCATCTTGTGCCCGTGTCAAGGGCTTTCTGTGTGTTTTCTCAGCTAATCCTGACTACAACTTCATCAGGTGGGAACTGTTCATCATTCATCTTTTATATATGGGACATGGACCTGAGAACGGGTAGCAACTTGCTCAAGGCCATAGTGTAGAGGCTGTAGAGCAGTGATGGCGAAACTTTTAGAGACTGAGTGCCCAAACTGCAACCTAAAACCCACTCATTTATCATAAAGTACCAACACCACAATTAAACCTGAATACTGAGGTTTTAGAAAAAACAACTGTTATGGGATGCACAGCTTACTGGGACAACTTAGCTCGAGTGCTGACATAGAGGGATCTGCATGGCTACTGCAGTACACATGACAGAGGTTTGCTTCCACTGCTGTATAGTCTGAACCTGAAGAATCTGGCTGACCCTTTCACCCTATTCTGCTCCCTAGTGCCCCAGTGAGCCACCTGCATATGAATGGGGCTACTCTACAGAGTCTTCCTCACCTTATCCATCTGGCTCCTAGGCTCCTTCATTCAACCAATATTTATGGAGCACCATCTAAACTTTCTTCTAGGGCTGGTGAGTAAAACAGACACAGCCCCTGCCCTTCTATTGCTCACCAGGCAGCAGAAGAGACCGACAATAAATGAACAAACATAAAACAGACCATTACCAATGTCTAAGTGTGGATGAAACAAATGACCAGCTGCTGTAATTGAAAATAAGAGAGCTGGGAAGTCAGCAAAGGTGACATATGTCCTGAGACCAGGAACTAGTCACCTCACACAAGCAAAGGGAATTGCTGTTGGCTAGGCTAGACAAGGAAGAAACTTGGCCCATTCAATGACTGAGAGCTGTTAAGTGTGACAGGAGCCTACCTACCTACCCCTCTCCCAGCCTTGTCACGATTTGGAAGAGTCAAAATTTTTTCCAGGTGGCCTAGAAAGCCTCTGGCAGGTATCAGAATGTAAGTCTTCAGTATGAATTTGTTTACCAAGTGCATCGTGTAGAACTTGATGGTATCATGCTGGGAGTCCCATTCAGTGGCCACTGCGATGGCTAGGGCCTCACTGGGGACAGTAAAGAGCTTGGCTTGAGGAGTTTTCAGCTTCCTGTGGTCCAGGTTTATCTCAAAGCCACCTTGAAAGATCAAATGAAAAACTTTCAGGGATTGTAAAGTAGAATCGAATGACCATTCCTATATTTAGCCTCTTGAATTGGTGCAGACAAAGACAACCAAGTACCTTATAGAAACATCTGACAAAAGCGCAAAGGATAATCCCACCACTGAACTGGCTGGACATGAAAAATGCTTCCAACCATTCACCAAAAAAAAGGAAAAAGAAAAGTTTCAGACACTCACCTTCACCCTGAGTGATGCTAACATTCTGATAAAACCTCTTCCTTTCTGTAAGAAAAATTTTCAGAAAGGCAGTTTAAAATAATGCCAAGAGGACTTGGGGCGACAAGACCAGCTTGTGTCATGGCTGCTAATGCTAATTGACTGGCTTGATTTTCCTACCACCCATTCCAGGTCTGCCCTACTCTACAGTAATCAACAGCTTCTGATTAAAGCTAGAGGAGGGGGCCTCCACTCTCCAAGGATGAGGGAGGAACATGCTGATCATGCGTCACCCAGTCTCCAAGCCCAAGGGCAAATCTGATCAGGAGCTTCCAGAGCTACAGACTATGTGACCTGACAGATTTCTTACATCCTCTGCTTTAACATCTAGGCACACTACCCCCCGACCCTGCCCCATCCTGTACTGCCCTCAGGCCAGCACAACGAGTCGAATTTCAGGCATGACTGATGCCTCAAAGAAGAGACAAGTGGGAAACCAGTGTTCATGTGCATGTGTGGGATGCGTAGGTAGAAAACAAATCTCCCCAGAGAGCTTCCTAACCTCTCCAACTAATTAACCAAATTAACCAGCTTGCTTATGCAGTCAACTCTAAACATTTCTTTCAAGAAGGGGGAAAATCCCTAGCTCTTTTTTATTTTGAGAAAAGGTCTCACTAAGTCACTAAAGTTGGCTAAGCTAGGCTTGAATATGTGATCTGCCTGCTTCAACCTTTGAGTACTGAGATTATAGGCACGTGCCACCACAACCAGCTCAAACATACTATTTTTATGTTTCCTGTATCATATCAGTTCCTTCCATAAATCTCATTTGCTATAATTAATGCTTAAACACAAAGGGCTCAAAATTGTATTTCTATTTATACTTACAAAACTAAGGCCCAAATTATTTTCCTGAAAAACTATTTGTACGCCTACTATATATCAGGTACTATTCTAAAGACTTGGAATATAATAGTAAATAAAATCCCTGGTACAGGGGCTGGGGATTTAGCTCAGTGGTTCCGTTACCTGCCTTGCAAGTGCAACAGCCTGAGTTCAAACCCCAGTACAAAAAAAAAAAAAAAAAAAAAAAAAAACCAAAAAAAAATCCCTGGTGCTAGGGGGAGGAGGGAGCCAGGAGAGGAGGTTTGCAGGAAGTGGCACAGAGAATTGCTTGTTTCTGTATATGGACTGAAGCACCTTCACAGGGAAAAGGGACCTAAAAGATATTCTCTCTCTTTTTTTTTGTTTTTGTACTGGAGATCGAACTCAGGACCTTGTGCTTGCGAGACAGGTGGCAGCACCACTGAGCTAAATTCCTGACCCTAAAGGATATTCATTTTCCACATGACACTTTTCATATGGGAAGGTTTTTAAAGTTGTGCTCTGCTTATCTAGCCTGTTCTCTTATGACAAACTATTTAAATACAATACTTTTTACATATATGAGCCCCTCACACACACCCATACTAGGGATTGAACTCAGGGCCACATATGTTCTAGGCATGTGCTCTACCACTGAGCTATATATCTTCTGCACTTTTTAAAAATTTTGAGACAGGTTCTCTCTAAATTGTCCAAGCTGTGCTTAAACCTGTGATCCTCCTTCCTCAGTCTTCCAAGCAGCTGGGATTACAGGTGGGCACTACCACACCCAGCTCTGTCCCAGTCTCTATGGACCAGTGAGTGATCTTTCTACCAGTCACAATTTCTAGGCTAGCCTTTTCTGTAGTTTTCAAAAATCCTCAAGAACTACACCTCCCAGTATGCATCAAGAAGAGGAAGTGTTGGGAGCTGTACAACACCTTTATCTTTTAAAACAGTGCCATCTGGTGGGCCTTAAACCTTAAAGCAAAAATTCTAATGTTAGGTATCCCTCCATCTGTAATCCTGGAGCAGCTTGGAACAACTGTTTTCAGGTACCAAAATCCTTTAGTCCAAATATATAAATAACTCCTTAAGCTCAATAAGAAGAGAAACAATCCAATTTAAAATGGTCAAGCCTGGCATGGTGGTACACCCCGGTAATCCCAGCCCTCGGGAGGCTGAGGCAGGAGGATTACTATGAGTTCGAGACCAGCCTGGGCTACAGAGTGAGTTCCAGGTCAGTCTCGACTACATAGTGAGACCCTGTCTCAAAAAATAAACAAACAAAGAAACAAATAAAATGGTCAAAAGATCTGAGTAGACGTTTCAAAGAAAATATACAAATGGGAAATAAGTACATGAAAAATGTACAATAGCATTCATCATCACAATGAGCATGTATGAAAATTCCACAATGAAACCAAATATTTTGTAAAATATGTACGAATAAAATATATTTTAAACACACACAAGCCATGCATGATGGCGCACGTCTGTAATCCCAGCACTTAGGAGGCTGAGGCAGGAGTATTGCTGTGAGTTCGAGACCAGCCTGGGCTACATAGTGAGTTCCAGGTCAGTCTTAACTACATAGTGAGACCCTGTCTCAAAAAACCAAAATAAATAAATAAATACACACACATAATCATAAACAAAAATTCTGCCCAAATTTGCACGGCCTGTGGATAATAAGAAACAGAAATGTTAACAATCTTTAAAAAAACCCAAAACAATGAGATACCACTTTATATCCTTTAGTATAGTTATAATAAGACAGACGAAAGGCCCGAGATGTAGATCAGGGACTTGCACCTGCCTGGCAAGCATGAGGCCCTGAGTACAATTCCTGGTACTAAAAAGAAAAAAAAAACAAACCAACAAATGATAACAAGTGTTGGTAAGGACGTAAAAAAATTGGAACCCTAACACTGTTTGTGGAGATGTAAAATGGTACAACCACTGTGGAAGTCTGGCAGATCCTCAAAAAATTCAGAACTGTTACTATTTGATGCAACAATTCTACTCAGGTATAGACACCCAAGGGAAATAAAAGTATAAAAGCGCCCACAAAAATTTATACACAAATATTTCCAGGAGGATTATTCGTAGTAACCAAGGCAGAAACAACCCACATGTCCATGTCCATCAATGGATGGGTAAGTAAAATGTGGTGTATCCATACAAGATGTTATTCAGCAATAAAAAAGAATGGAATACCAATTTATGGTACAAGAACAAACAGAAGGACCAGGGACTTAGCTCAGTGGTTCTGCCACCTGCCTGGCAAGCTCAAGGACCTGAGTTTGATCCCCAGTACCAAAAAAAACAAAAACAAAAACAACAAAACAAAACAAACAATAGAAACATGCTAAGTTAAAAAAGTCACTTAAAAAGATTATGAAATGTCCCAAACAGGGAAATGTAGTAGGAAAGAAAACAAATAGGAGTTGCCTAGGAATGGAGAGATGAAAGGGGTAAGGGCAGATGACAACTAAAAAGTACAAATTTCTTTTGGGCATGATAAAATGTTCTACACTTGATTGTGGTACTGATTGCACAACTCTGTAAATACACACACAAAAAAATGCCAAATTTACACTAAGTGAGTGTACTATATGATAAGTAAATTATAATTCAATAAAACTGTTTCAAAAATCCTGGCCAGGGCTGTGGGTATAACTCAGCAGTAGAACACTTGCTAGCATGAGTGAGGCCATGTTCAATCTCCAGAAACACACACACACACACACACACACACACACGCGCACACAGATACACACAGCCAGATGCTGTGTCACGTACCTATAATCCCAGCTACCGGGGAGGCAGACCACAAGTTCAAGGCCAGACTGGGCAAAAAGTCTTAAAATTTTTCTTCTGGACAAATGTGTACATATACTATTTTCCAAATTGCTCTTCATCTAGAGTAGGGGTTATTAAAGTGTCTGCTGAGCCAGTCAATACGTCAGGCTGTGTGAACCAAAAGTTTTCTGTTCCAACTACTCAACTCTGCCAGTAGTCACAGAGAACACATAAATGAATGAGTATGGCTATGTTCCCATAAAAAAAGAGGTGGCAAGCTGGACCTCTGGTCTCTGGACTATACAATCTTCCTCGGGCAATATCACCACCCTATGAAAAACAAGGACAGTGATGCTTCTGAGGTGACAGAGACTCAGACAATGTCTTATACAGATGATAAACAACTTATAAATGGTAGAGATAAGACTTCTAGCCTTGACTCTGGGAGCCTGCATTCAGCCAATATGTTGCTTCATCTGGGCTGCTCCCCAAGCAGTCAACAGGATACCTGACAAGATGGTACAGAGCTTTAGGGCCACAACAGCCTCGCATAGGTCTCCTTCCTGTGCCATCTTCTCCTCCAACACCTCAATATAGCATGGCCATTCTTTTTTTTTTCTTTTTTTTTTTTTTTTTTTTTTTTTTTTTTTTTTTTTTGGTTTTTTGAGACAGGGTCTCACTATGTAGTTGAGACTGACCTGGAACTCACTATGTTGCCCAGGCTGGTCTCGAACTCACAGCGATCCTCCTCCTGCCTCAGCCTCCCAAGTGTTGGGATTACAGGTGTGAGCCACCACGCTCAGCAAGCATGGCCATTCTTAAGGGGCCAAGTTCAACCAGTTTGCCAGTAAAAGCCTATCAAGAGGGATCCGCTTAGATTTAATCTTCCACTACTCTAAAGACACACAAAAATCTCACAACTGGTTAAGGTCTTTACAGAGCACAAGGTCTGATGTAGGTATCCATTCCTCACTTTGCTTCATTCCTACACACGTTCCTAGAGCCTAAAGTATAAACTACAAGTCTGTTGTGCACAGGAAAAGAATTTGGTAGATCAAGTGCTACTAGATGGAAGGCAAATATTCACTCATCTACGTTAACCCTTTGCTTTTGCCAAGTTGGTGAATTTCTTAATATGTCCCTTTTGTTGGTACTATGTCTCCCCAGTATATCTCCTTCCTTCATCCTTGCCTCCTACCTTGTTCATCTGAGATGAGATCACACCAAGTTGCTCAGGCTGGCCTCAAACTCCAGGGCTCAAATGATATTCCCACCTCCCACTTTGGATGCTTTTTTGTGTTCTTACAGATCTCTTTGAAATTCCTTTATTATAGTATGTATTATTGTAAATTATTGTTTGGCCAACATAATGTAACCTTTTGCATTCGCCAGTGAATATTATTCAGGTAGGGACCATATCAATCTTTTTTGGGAGGGGAGATACTGGGGATCGAACTCAGGCCCTTGTGCTTGCGAGGCAGGCGGCAGAATCACTGAGCCAAATCCCTGGCCCTGGACCATACCAATCTTGAAGGCCACTGCACCTCTTGTCCCCAGCACAGAAAAACTGTGCCAGGAAAGTGTCACTACTCTTTCATTAATTGAAGTGAGTCACTCATTCTTACCCCAAAGTCTCTCTCCAGCACTACCATTTCTGAAGCCTCATTAGACTCAGAGGTAGACAAAGGAGGCATGGTATCACCTGCCACTCAGGAAAGAAGGCTCCAGAGACGGCAAGAGTTGTGGTAGGGCATTAAAAGAGGGCTTGGAAACCAGCAGAGAAAGTGCATGGTGTGGGAATTAAGGCCTCCTCACTCTGTGCCAGGTCTTGAGCTGGGTACTGGAGACACAAAGCAGTAAGAGGCAGTGCAGCCTTTGCTCTCTGCTCGGTGACCTTGGAAGTTCTAATCGAGAGCCCAAATTTCTCCTTATAGAAGAAAGCTACAGGCTTTTAGAAAAGCTGCACGGGCCAAACGCCACTGCGCCCTAACTTCGCAGAGTCCCCTCGGGTCGATCCTTCCTTGTCTGAGTTTCACTTCACCATCTATAACGGGCCTCTATAAGGCCTGAATAACTTCATGGGCCTAAGCACTCATCCACTCCAAACTGCACGGCCGAAACCCACAGCTCTAGCCGTTGGTCAAAAAGTTAGTAAGTCCTGGCCTCACCTGCCGGGGGCGCGTAGGTCCGGGCAGGAGTCTGGGGGACTAGGCCCAGCCTCGCGGAAGCGGTAGGGTCACCCGGGCACCACTTTAGGAGGCGGCGCTCCCAGTCCCGCAGCCGAAGGCACCTCCTCCACATCGCTCCCAAGGACCTGGGAGCGCACGCAGTGAGACCCCAGCTCCCGAAACTCTAGAGTGAAAGGATCCCCAAGTAGCACGCTCGAGCTATACGGAAACCTCCCAGAGCTTCTGCAGAGCCCTCATACGCCTCTGGACGCCGCCATCTTCATGTCACCTACGGCGCGCCGTCGTCGCCGCGCACCCAGCACACAGCCCCAGTCAATCAGCATCACAAATGTGCCTCGCCCCGCCCCTCCACGCCGCTCTCGGGAAGAAGACTACAAGTTCCAGAGGGCTTCTCTAGCGCCCCGCCACGAGTTTTCTCCACCCGCCAATAGGCGGAAGCGCCGCGTGAAACGGCTCCCGCCCCCACCCCGGCGCACCCGAGCCAATCGGAAGGGG